TGATCTGGGGGGTTTGGAAGGGATGGAGAGCAAAGTGTTGCTAAGCTGAGGCATTTGGGATGGCCTTGGTGGAGGAACTGAGGTGGCTGTGTGCTTGGCTTCTGCACTGAACTGTCTTCTTAAGTCTCTTTGGAAAAGTGCTCCCAGGATAACGGAGGGTATAGTAGCATGGAGGACCAGGAGGAACGTGGTACCCACCTTTGTGGATTTCTTAGGTGTCTTCACAGCCTCAGTCCGTCCCCGTGGTGCAGTCCATTTTGAAGGCATATATCATGCCTTGTCTGGCAAGGGCTGTTTCTCTTGCCCATGCTCCCCACTCTGGCTGTACATCAGGCTGCCCCAGCACGCAGGGACACCAAACACTGGTACTGTGGTGTGGGGACACAGACACAAGTGGGGCACTGGCTGCCCATCTTGTGTGAGCGTTGGGGCTGGCTGTTCTGCAGGCACTCCTTGGTGATGCCCAGTTCGGTAGGAAACATCTTGGACCATCTGAAAGCTTCGGCAACTCAATGCAGTTTCCATCCCACCTCCCAGAATCGCAGGGAGCTGGGGAGCTTTTTTCAGGTTTATCTTCTCATCTGATTTTCCAAGGCCAGTCCTACCACTGAGCTAGCCCAGGACTCGGACCATGTCCTCTGCAGACCGTGGCTGTGATATCTCACTCAGGAGGAAAAAGGAGTGAGCATGTGAGCTGGGAGCCATTTCCCAGCTGCTGGAACGGGTCTTTGTGACCCTGGTGGCATCTGTGACCGGACCTCGGGCTGGTGGCTTGGCGGTCCCCAGCTGCTCCCACTGCTGGCGTTGGTGACCCTGCCATGGCCACGAGCCGTTCGGCAGCCACGCTCCTCGGTTCCCTTCCATGGTCACCCAGGGAGCGTTTCAGAGCGGGGACAAGGCGCGTGGCTTGGCTTGGCTTTTAAAACAAATCCATATATATATATTTGCATGTGCGTGTATATATATTTATATAGAAAAACGCATTTTGAGGCAGCGGGGGACCTGAGCGAGAGCCGAGCACCCTCTAGCAGCATTTGCCATGGCTCCGGGAGCTGCCGAGCCAGCAGGAAAGTGGCCAAGGACAGAAAGTCTTGCATGATTTTTCCTCCCCCCCTGGCTGCCAGTCGCTATCTTTCTTTTTTGTTCTTCCTTTTTTTTTTTTTTTTCCCTTTTTCTTCCTCTTATTAATTAGGAGCGGCAAATGGTGGGTCCTGGGGATGCCCAGGCACGGGCGGGAGTGTTCCCGCAGCCCCTCAGCTCCGGCTTGCTGCCGGACTGCTGAGGATCGTTCTGCTTAATTTATTTTATTTTAATTTGGTAGGAAAGCCTGCAGCCTCGGATCAGCTGCCCAGGCACTTTGGGTCCAGTGCTGCCGGAACTGCATCACCCTGAGCTCCCCAGAGCAGAGCGGGGGCTGCATCCCATCATTGGTGGGGGGCATTTTGGAGGGTTGGAGCTGCCAAGGAGCCCAGCACGGTGGGCATCCTGGCAGGAGGGGCGTCGGAGCCGGGGACAGCACGGGGAAGATAAAAAAGGAGATTTTAAAGAATCATTTTGTCTTCTTCTCCAAGCTTAGCGCAGCCTTCCAGGGATAAATAGGCAGCATCAGTTCTGCTTAGACACATCGGGCTTCCCATTTATTTACTCCTGATTCCGAGGGGGCAGCCGAATCCAGGCCGGCTCCAGGTGGTCCCCAGCTGGGTTTGGGTCTGTGCTGTGGGGATGTGTGTCCGTTGGTAGGAAGCTTGGGATGCGCACACCCGGCGGGTGCTGCTCCGCGCGTGTTCCACGGTAATAAAGCTCAGGGGTTATACAGAGCTTTTCATCGGGAAGCAGCTTTCTAAACATCAACTAATTAATCACTCGTGCCTACCTGTCAGGTCAATGATTCCTGAGATTTTTAATCTAAAAATATTTCCCTTTTGAAATCCAGATGCACCTGTTTTGGCAACTCCGCTTTTGATTTGTTTGTTTGGGGGGTTTTAATTTTATTTTATTTTTTTAACCTGTGTTGCTTTCCATTTGTATGTGGGCTTTTGATGTGCTTTGATTTAGTGATTTGTTTCTTCCTGGAAGAGTAGGAATTTATTCTCTCTTTTTTTTTTTTTCATAGCAAGTTTGTCTCTTGCCCATAGCCGGGCACCTCCCCACTTGCCTCTTCTCTTTTTAAGGATTTTGGCTACGTTTACCTCTTGTTTCAGTTGGTGGACCACAAATGAAGTCTGACCTGTCCCCTTGGATTTATTCATTGGTGGAGCGTGTGGCTGGGTGCCGGCGGTGCCGTGGGAAGCCTCCTGCAGTGGAGGGGGATGCCGGACCTGTCTCCTTGGGGCTCAGCAACTGGCACCCAGCTCCCAATTTGGCAGTATGCCCCCAGCCCTCCATATAGACACAATCCTCCCTAGCGTGGAATTATTTATTATTAGCTCATTTTATTGGCAAACTTACTGTTGCCAGGCTTTTTTTCTTTCTTTTCTTTCCCTCTCCCCCTGACCTCCCCACCTTTGTTGACAGCAAATGTTTTAATCCCAAAAATGGCAATAAATGTTAGAGTCCTGAAAATAATTATTTCAGTAGAGTTTGAGGCTGTAAAAAAGCTCCTTTTAGTTTTAGCCAAACCTCTCAATAGGGTGTTCTACTACAATATTGTATATGTGATATATCCAAGACCAGGCTGGATGGGGCAACCTGGTCTAGTGGAGGTGTCCCTGCCCATGGCAGGGGGAGCTGGAACTCGATGATCTTTAAGGTGTCCTCCAACCCAAACCATTCTGTGATTCTATGATTCTATGAATATCATTTTTTGATAATAGCTATATCCATCTCTAACTTAGTTCAGAGTGAGGAAGAACACACTCAATGACTTTTTAGCTGCTCTGGTTTTACTTCTTTTTGCCAATTAATTTTAGATTTTTATTTTTTTTAAAAAGACTGGGAAAATCACTTCCTTTTGTTTGCACTATAGATTTGGGGGGGGTCAAATTCATCTCGGGTGTAAGTGGGCACAGCTTTATTAAAATCCATGCAACATTACCCAGCTCCGGATGTGCACGAGTGTGTGCTTGGGGGGTGGATGGGTGTTTACAAAGTGCTTAGAGTTCCTGTGCCAGATGATGTGGGGAAATACAATTTGTTTCTCTTAGGAAATGCCTTTTTTTGTTCGCTCATCAAGGATTTATTTTATTTCATTTATTTTGCAGCTGCGCACACCTGTCTGTGTGCATGCAGAAATCTCATGTTACACTTCTGTATTCAAAAAGGGGGCATGTGGGGCACCTCCAACCTTCAGACTTGGGACATGCCCCTTTGCTAAGCCAGCCTGGAGTGGTCGGGATGCTCCCATCTGGTTTTTCTAGGAAAACCTTCGCAGGAGAAGGACTCCTACACGACGCTATAATTGGGGCAGGGAGTACAGAGGCTTGCCTCTCCTTGGCAAGTCACTCTGGGAGGATTGATTTATTGTCACCCCTTCTCTTAGCATGGTTTAGACTTCACTGGAACAACTGGATTGTTAAAAACAAATGGTGTTTTCCAGAGTAAAATGCATTTCATACATTTTTTTTGCTTGTTTTTTCACTGGGTGGCTAAAAGCACGGCCTTGCAAGCCCTCTGTGTCGGTATTTAAAGGTGGAGTAACTGAGGCACAGCCAGCCCTGGGCTCTGTACTTCTTCCTCTGCCATCTGGGGTTGGTGGCTGATGCAAATGGTGCAGGATCAGGCCATAAATGGTGCTGTAGGTGACAGGAGAGGACCCTTGGCTGTGCCGAGGTCTGGGCTAGAGACTCCTGATTTCCTATCCCGCGCTTCAATCGGGATACGGTCCCTATCACTCCTGGCAGCAAGAACAGGTGAATTTGTTGGGTTTTTTGACTGGCGTTGCTAGCTGTTTTGCTGCATGTTTGAACACAGAGCGTGGTTTTCTGGGTTACCTCTGCGGTGAGCTCTCTGCCAGTTCTGCCCTACTTCTTCCCTGCGGGAAGGAGGGGAGGAGGCAGGGAGGGGAACGGAGAGCTGGAGTTCCTTCATGGCTGCTGCTGGGCTGGAGAGCCCAGGAGCTGCGTTGGGAGATGAGCACTTGGAGCACCAGGTTGGGGTACCCCTTAGGAAAGGAAGAAAAGCCCCATTGATGGGGATACTGAGCCCCACCGGTCCAACCTGGGGTGAGCATCCCCTTCGTGCCCAGGTGGCCAAGAGCGCCAATGGCATCCTGGCCTGTATCAGGAATAGCGTGGCCAGCAGGAGTAGGGAAGTCATCGTGCCTCTGTACTCGGCTTTGGTGAGGCCTCACCTCGAGTACCGTGTTCAGTTTTGGGCCCCTCACTACAGGAAAGACATTGAAGTGCTGGAGCGTGTCCAGAGGAGAGCCACCAAGCTGGTGAGGGGTCTGGAGAACAAGTCCTATGAGGAGAGGCTGAGGGAACTTGGCACATTTAGCTTGGAGAAGGGGAGGCTGAGGGGAGACTTCATTGCCCTCTACAACTGCCTGAAAGGAGGTTGTAGAGAGGCAGGGGTTGGCCTCTTCTCCCAAAGGAATAATGACAGGACCAGAGGAAATGGTATGAAGCTGCAGCAGGGGAGATTCAGATTAGATATTAGGAAGAATTACTTTACTGAGAGAGTGGTCAGGCACTGGAACAGCCTGCCCAGGGAGGTGGTGGAGTCACCATCCCTGGAGGTATTTAAGAAATGTGTAGACGTGGCTCTTCAGGGCATGCTCTAGTGCCCAATATTATAGGTTTGTGGTGGGGTGTAGTATGTGGGGTTGTGGGTGTGGGGTTTAGTTGGTGGGTGGTGGTTTTGGGTTTGTTGTTTTTGTGGTGGTTGTGTGGGGTTTTTTTTGGTTGGTTTTCTGTTGGGTTTTCTGTTGGGTTTTTTTTTGTGGTTGGACTTGATGATCTCGGAGGTCCCTTCCAACCACTAAGATTCTGTGATTCTGTGATTCCCCGAGTTAAGCTCCGGGCACGTCTCAGGCTTTTCTCTCCCCTTTGTGTCTCCTGCAGTGCTGAGCATCCGGGGAGCGCAGGAAGAGGAGCCCACAGACCCCCAGCTGATGCGGTTAGACAACATGCTCCTGGCCGAGGGGGTAGCGGGCCCCGAAAAAGGAGGTGGCTCAGCCGCCGCTGCCGCCGCCGCCGCCGCCTCGGGAGGAGCCGGCTCTGACAACTCAGTGGAGCACTCCGACTACAGAGCCAAGCTCTCCCAGATCCGGCAGATCTACCACACGGAGCTGGAGAAGTACGAGCAGGTAACAGGCTCCTGCGCGGCCCAAGGGTGGTCCTCACGGGATGATGGTGGTGTCAAGAGCTGGAGCATCTCGGAGAGCCACCGTCCGGTGCCGGCACCGCAGCGTGGATGTGCACAGCCTGGACCACTACTGACATCTATTGTTAGGAGTGTGTGGGCGAAGGCAAACTGTTGCTTGGTGCTGGAGTGAGAACACACATTTTTTAGGATTGGGAGAGCTGGGGTTTTGTGCTGGGATGTGACGTGAGAATAGGCTGGGCGTGGATTGCCCCTTTGGTTTTCGCTTTTCACTCCTCCCCTAATATCTTGCCAAAAATTGACCCTCTGAAGGTGGCGTCCTCTTCGAGGTGCTGGCCTCAGTGCAGGCAGATTTCCAAGCAAGGCTTGAATCAAAATCTTCATTGAATATTTTTTCTGCTTGAAAAGTTCCTCCAGGTAAAAAAAAAAAAAAAAAAAAAAAGCAGCTTTTTTCTTGAAAAATTATTCTTAAAAAAAAAAAAGAAAAAGAAAAACTATTTGGGTCATGAACGCAGGTATTGGTAACACTGACAATTGCATGAAAAGCTTCACAGGCCAGCACTCAAAACCCGTTTCTTTCAAACGCTTCCAGATGTTTTGCAGATCTCTCTTAGCCACCGTGTGGCTTGCCCTTGCCATGAATGTGGTTTCTACCCCAAGGTTGTGGTTTATGGAGTGCAAGCAAGAAAGCATCCCCTGCAGCCAGGGCCAGGCAAGGTTTCAGGTTTTTGGTTTAAAGCCAACTCTGCCGATGTAGTGGGGCTGTGAGTGGCTGCCAGTGCTGGGGTCTGTTAGGGCAAGCCAGACTGGCCCCCATTTTACCCAGCTAACTGGTTGTGTGGTGGAGCTCAGAGATGTCTCACCCCTTCAGGAGCCACACTGGCCAAGCTGAGGCTGCTGGTCAGTGTATTCAGACCTACACTTGGGGCTGGTGTGCAGCTACCTTAGATGGGTGCCCCTGGGTTGGAGCTGGAGTCAGGATGGCCAAGCAGGGCTCCGGTGTTGGAGAAACTGAGTGGGATCATGCCATGAAAGGCATCTTGGCAGACCATTAGAGGAGGAGAGGGTAGTGGGGCCCAGAGAGCAGGCAGGGGGCAGGTTGGAAGGATGGCCTTTGGTGGCCATCCGCCACCATCTCACATGGATAGAAGTGGAGACCACATCAGGGCTCATCTCTCAGCTCCCAGGCTGAAGAGTGGGAGAGAAGACCCCATGTCTTCTGCCAGCCAAGCCCAAGGTGAGACCCTTGGCACAGCTATGGACAGGCTTCAGGGAAGGACCTTTTGCTCCTTTCTCCCCTTGGGCAGGAGCTTTGTTTGTTTGCTTTTCTCATTTTGCTTCTGCTTCATTTTTCCTCCCCAAAGAGACACCCGGGTGAGATCAGCCTTTAGCCCAGCCCCATGGGGTGAGATGGGCCACATCTTTCCCTCTCACAACACACTGACGGGGTTGGTTTTGCCATCAGGTTGCTTTGCAAATGGCTGTGCTGGTCCACATCTTCTGTATCGTCACCCGCAGTCCTGCAAAACCAGGCTTCAGGGTTTCTCAATCTCCATCCCCTTTCTCCAGTCCCATTTTTGGTGGCTGGGGGACCTCAGCACCTTCTCACAGTGTCTGGCTGCTGCTGTGACAGCACGGCGCACACTTGCAATTTTGCCTTTGATGCTCTTTATTTCATGCCAAGAGGAGACGAGCTGAAATTGCTTGGGTGTCTGGGAGCAAAGAGACACCTGGCTGAGAGCTCTCATAGCCTGTGCTCACCCTGGGACCTGTCAGCTGAAGCTGGTGATGGGCAATTGGGAGGGACTCTGCTGGCCTCTGGGATGACTCCTTGTTAGGTCTGAGATGTGTGTGAGGATTCAGCTTGGAAGGGTGGGGTGGGATATAGTAAGTCTAGCCCATCTCCAGTCCACAGAATCAGTGTCTCTTTCCCCTGCTAGCCCCTTTTTCCCCATCACAGGATGGGAACTGGGGATGCTGTCCCCAGAGCACCTGCTTGTGTCCCAGGAGCACCAAAGGCTTCTTGAGCCATCAGTGTCCGAGTGCTGCTCTCAGCCTGGGTTTCGGGGCTTGGTTCTGGGAATTGGGGGATCCTGTCACATCCACGAGGTGCTTGTGAGGATGGAGGAAAGGGCAATGAAGTGGCCTTTATTTGGCCTCAAAATCCCTCACTTGTGCACCCAACTCCTCTCGCTGCCCTGTCCTCACAGCACAGCATGGGGACAGCAGGAGCAGCCAGACAGTGCCGTGCTAGCGCAGACTAATTGAGATTATTACCTGCTTGCCCTTTCTCGTCAAGGCTCTTGCCTCACTCAAGCTTTAATTATTATTGTTATTTACTTCTTATCTGATGTGCTAAGACCGTGGAGCAGGGCCGTGTCTATCTGTGAAGCACAAGGGGCTCTGCAGGACACATGGTGCTGGAGTCAAGCTGGGGCAGCAGGAGGAGGGACTGCGGGTCAAAAGGTTCATGGTCCTCCACAGATACATCTATAGTTCCCCCAGTCCCATCCATAAAAACAGTGGCTGGGACTTCTTCATGTTTTTTGTGAGTCATGAGTCCTAGGGCTTCACCTGCCCCAGATCCATATCCTCTCTACCTCTAGAGCCAGCACGTTCTTGCTCTGGGTCTGCCCTAAAAAGCCCCAGCCATTGAGGCCTCCACTTGCATCTCCTGCCTTAGCAGTGCTGCTTCTGTACTATCCCTGACGCCATCAAATGACCTTCCGATCCCGGGGTTTCTTTTGCTTTTCTTGCCATCCCAGGCATGCAACGAATTCACCACCCACGTGATGAACCTGCTGCGTGAGCAGAGCCGGACTCGACCTATCTCACCAAAGGAGATAGAGCGGATGGTGAGCATCATCCACCGCAAGTTCAGCTCCATCCAGATGCAGTTGAAGCAAAGCACGTGTGAAGCCGTCATGATCTTGCGCTCCCGATTTCTGGATGCACGGTGAGTTCACCCCACCAAACCTTTCTCCCCACCCACCGTGCAGTATTGTTCAGGCCTGGGAGAGGTGTTTTGGGGTTCTGGAGTGAATTCAGTCTGAAGGGCCATGTCTCTTGGTCTTGAGCTGCAGAGGCTGTTTACCTTCCTTAACCTTTAGTTGCCTGTAGCTCAGCAAGGGAGGGGACAGGAGTTCAAGACATCCAGGTTCTGGAGTGAATTCAGGTCCATCTGAAGGGCCATGTCTTCTTGGTCTTGAGCTGCAGAGGCTGTTTACCTTCCTTAACCTTTAGTTGCCTGTAGCTCAGCAAGGGAGGGGACAGGAGTTCAAGACATCCAGCCTCTGTCTCGGGGAGGCTCCCAGCTTTACCTTGAGAATTGACATCCTGGTTTTGCTGTGGCAGAAGGAAATTCTGTGGCACATTCCAACAAACCTCTGTGGTGAAAATGTGCACATCAGTTAGGGATGAAAGTTAATCCTTCAGCCCATCCTGTCCCCTCTAGGTTCCTATTCTTTTCCTTCTGTTTCCGTTGTCCCAGATTTTCAATTTGCTGTAAAATTATCTCATTCCCCAAGCTGGTTACGTGCAGGCTGTGGCTTGGGCTGCAGCTTTGGGTGGGGAGGAGAGGCAGCTGCACTTGGGATACGAGGGAAGAGGTAGCCAACAGATAACATCCAGCTGTAAATGGAACAGACTTCCCCAAGGATATATCTGACACCGCTTCCTCAGCACAGAGCTTTGGCCAGTGCAGCCAGGTGTCGGGAGTCACCTTCCCAGGTGGAGGAGCTGGGTTCCAGTTTTAAGACTCTTCTGTGATCTGGAGGGTACAATGATAATTTGAGACAGAGACTTAGGTGCTTTGGAAGGTGCTGAGAGAGGAGTCACCAGCAAGGTGCAGATGGGAAGCTTCCTGGCCATAGGTCTATTGCACTCCATGCTTCCAGGAGCAGGGCAAAGAGGGAGGGCAGTGGAGAAGGTCAGGGTATCTAAAATTGCATTCCTATTTCTGGATCCTTGACACTGACTCCCTTTCCTTTTCCTTCTATTTCCCCTTCTTTCTTCATGCTAAGGCGGAAGAGACGAAACTTCAACAAGCAGGCTACGGAAATCCTGAATGAGTATTTCTATTCCCATCTCAGCAACCCTTACCCTAGTGAGGAAGCCAAAGAAGAGCTAGCCAAGAAATGCGGCATCACAGTCTCACAGGTGAGAGAGCTCAGAAGCACAGCAAAGATGGCTACCCTACTGTGGTGAAGGGTGCTCTGGACCTCAGTCAAGTCAGTCATGTCCCAGTGTTGAGCGTTTAATTACTAAATGAATTTAGCGCAAGTTACTGTAAGTGGATGGGAGAGCAGATGGCAGAAGTGCAGTTTGAAGCCGTGGATGGAGAAGGAGAGTTTGGGAGAGGATTTAGAAGGGATGAAGACTTCATGGAGCGATGGCTGTGTGTGCAGCCGAGGTGATAACAGCACAGAAATGATGTGGTATGACCCACAAAAGCAAAGAGATTAATGCTGAGCTGGCTTACAAGAAAAGCTCATTTGAGCTGAAACTATGTCCCACAAAAGCAAAGGGGGATTAGTGCTGAGCTGGCTTACAAGAAAAGCTCATTTGAGCTGAAAGTCCATTCTTCAAGCCAAGGGATTCAAATGCAGTAGGAAGACTTGTGCAGATTTTGCTTGATAAGGTAGAACGGACAAGGTCCTGGTGGGAAGGGTTTGGGTCAGAGAGGTTATAGTTTGTGCTCAAGGAGAGTGGGCTTTCTCAGGGTCGTTTCTCTGTCATTACTCTTGTGCTGTGGAACATGACATCTACCTGACTTGCTTATCCCTCAAAGAAGGGTGGTCAATAAAGACAAATTTAATTATTTCCATACATTTTAGGCAGCCACCTAGTTCCTGGAGTCTATAGCTATGACCTGGGAGCTGCTGGGATTTGTGAGGAGTGCAGTCAGTCCTTGAAGTGTTCAACTGTACATTGCTCAGGCCTGGCCTTCTTTGTTTCCTTTCTCTTTGGAGCAAGCTGTGTGATTGAAAGCCAGTCCATGTGGCCTGTGGTAGTCTTGTCCTTGTGTGAGCTTAGTGCTCCCTCTAGGCTCTCATTCCATTCCCCATCTTGGGCTGCTTCCCAGCCCCAGGCACATGCCTGTTCGTCGCTTGAGTAAACTGAAGACAGCGGTAGCATCTGGTGTCCTTGTGAGAGCATGTCTGCCTTCAGCAGGAGCAACAGCATCCAAGGGTAGGTGTCGTCACTGTGTTGAATGCCTGCTGAGTGACTCCAGTTGCTTCCCCTGGGTCAGAAGACCCAAACGTTGGTTCTGCCCAGAGTTACCTACGAGAGACAGCACATATTGGCTTAAGTAAAACTACAGCTGTGCTGGTGCTTCCCCTCTCACTTTTAATTCATCTGTTCACACTTACAACTTCTCCCTTGCAAAGAGAAAACGCCCAGGAGAAATGCTGCTCTTAGGATATTTTTTGACCGTGCTGTATCCAGGCTGCTTTGTGCCTGACTCCACAATCTCCTTCCCTTCTTCGTCCAAAGAAGGTAGAAACAGACACACATCCAAGTCTCTGTTTTTGCTGAGGCTAAGTGAATGTGAATAATTCACAGCATGAATCTGTGCAAGTCACAAGCAGAGTCCACCTGAATTCAAAGGCTGACCGGGGTAGGCAGGTTCTTTGCTTTACAACTTTTAAGACGAAGATCAATTGTGGTGGCTGTTTATCCCCACTTCCTTCCATGTGGCAGCCAGAGTTCACCCACCAGTTCCAGCATTTGAAGCCAGAAGAGCTGTTGTAGAGAGATGGCCAAGAGAGAAGATCATGGAGGAACACATTGTCATTAATGAGAAAGCCAGACCAAGAAGTGGAATGGAGCTCCTACAAATAGCACCTGCTCCCAGTGCCATTGAAATGTTCACTCCCAGATCTGGTTGGGCACTGATCTGAGTTACTACCCTTTGCCTCCCAGGAGTCTCTGGAGGTTACATTTTCTTTTTCCTGCTCTGCAGCAGCGCAGGATTGGATACCTGCAGTTCAGTAGCAAGTAAATTGGTGGATGAAGCTCCTTCTGTGTAGAAGCTGCTGACTGCTCTAGGAATGCTGCAGACAGAAAGCATGATAGGAGTAAAAAAGCATATAGCTTTCAGTTATCAACACCCAAGCCAAAACAGTTCCCTAAGATGAGGAAAAAATCATGAGCTTCACAGAATGAACGTCCAGTATTGTCTTCTGTGTCTTGGTGCTTGGACAATCCATTTGGAAGAGGGAGCACTGATATACTTGCTCACCAGCAAGCACGAGAATGTTGGAGCTCTTTTGGGAGAGTTGCAACATCCTCTGGCATTTGCCCATCCTTTTCATCCTGATGAGCTTTCTCAAGCAAGGTCAATAGCAGCTGGAAGTTGTCTTCTGTCCATATACCTGCATGCAGGAAGACATTCCCCTGATTCTCTGTGTTCAGGGCTGTCAAAGAAGAAGCTGAGAGCTGCTTCCCAAACTCTCGGCTGAATATTTCCTACATCTTTTCTGAATTGTTTACTGCAACACAGTGCCCACAAGTGAAGAAGTTTATTCTCAGCAGGCTACTGAGTGGGATTTTGTGAACACTGGGTTCATGGTGGCACCCTGATGTTTTCCCTGGAGAAGCATTCTTGTTGGATATCACAGCCCGATTTCACAGATTTCAGAGTTTCCTATTGCTGTGCTGAACCTCTGATCTGCAAACTTTGGGGTATTTATCCAGACACTGGGCCCATCATTTTCAGCCACCCCTGTGACTTGTGAAGAAGTTCAGCCCGTTGTTTTATTTTTTTTAAAAACAAACCCACTCATTCAACACACTTCTAGGCACTTAGACACAACAGCCCCATAGCAGTCTCTGGGAAAACACAGTGGAAACATCTCCTCTCCCTTTCCAAAGGGTACACTTGTTCCTCAGCACCAAAGTTAGGTCTTACGATGAGCCCCGGGCTGCCTCTCCAGCCTTCCCCCAAAGCTCCTGGTTTATCTTGTGGCTCATGCTAAACCATACAAAGTCAAGTTCAGCTGGATGCAGAGCACCCACTTCTGGCCTTTTGGAGTGATTTCACTCAGGTGGATCAAAAGCAAAGTTTCAGTGATAGCAAGGCAATTTTGTTTGTCAGCCAGGCCCGAGTAAATTCATTTGGTGTAAATTCATTTTCCCTGAAAGCCACACTGGCTCCTCCAAAGGGAGGAGAAGGGGCATCTGGGAATCGAGCGTCTGTCCCTGTCAAAGAGACACCAAGGAGGAGGCAAATAAGAAGTTCTAAAATGACATATAGTCATTTTCAGATTGTGTAATTTCAGAGTCACTTTGACTTTCTCAGTTGTTTATTAAACCCATCTGATGTTTTTGTGGGGTGGGTCTAGTGGTTCCTGTGGAGCATCCCCATAGTAGATGTCCCAACCGTAGAGGAGCCAGACACATCCACACAAACCCAACCCTCCCAAGGGGGTCCCACCACCTTTCCTGGGCTTGGTGTGGGACACACAGGTAGAAGGTGCTGCCTTGCACAACTAGGAAAACAGGAGGGTGTGGGGGAGAAGAATATTGCATTGTTTAATTTGAACTAATCCAGCTTCCTCACCCAGCTGCATTTACCAGAGCTGAAACGTTAACGTCTTTGTCTTCTCTTAAACTCACTCTAGGTATCAAACTGGTTTGGAAATAAGAGAATCCGGTACAAGAAGAACATAGGTAAATTTCAAGAGGAAGCCAATATTTATGCTGCCAAAACGGCTGTCACGGCTACCAATGTGTCAGCCCATGGAAGCCAGGCTAACTCACCCTCAACTCCCAATTCAGCTGGTTAGTTTTTGGTTTTTTTTTTATTTTGGGTCATTAGTGTTCGTTTTTTCCTTCGTTTCTTCCCCTTCTTCTAATCTCTCTCTTGTTTTCTCCTTTTGGTTATCTCAATTTTAGTTTCCTTGTTTTGGATGGCTCACTTTCATGGTCTTTATTTAAAAAAAAAAGAGATGGGTTTGGTTTTGGGGGTTGTTTTGTCTGGGGTACTTTCTTTACTTTCCCTCCCTCCCTCTTTTTTCTTTTCTCTTTTCTTTTCTTTTTTTTTTGTTCTCTTCCTCTTTCCCTTTCTGTTTTTTGTTGGAAAAGTGATGTGATCAGACCTTGTGACTGACGGTGCCGCGTTGGGTGTTCTATGCATGGATGGTAAACACAAAACCAGAAAAATTGTCTGAAAAAAAGATTGCTGGGATTGCTTGCACTTCGGGGGGAAAAAGCAATTGAAAAAAAAGTCCTTGCATAATGGTTCTGTTTCAGTGGGGCTGAAAGCATGAGTGGCCCTAATGGACATACCCCAGCATTTCTGGGGTGTCCTAACTCATGCCACTTTGGGGATTGCTTTGAATAGATTTTTATCCTTTGATTTTCTTTCTGTTGTGGTTACCTTTGATTGCTTACATGACAGTGTCTGGATCACCTGCAAGAGTGTGCCCTGTGTGGATTTCATTTTCCCTTTGTGTCAGCGCGATCCAAGGAAATCCATGGGTCGTTCCCTTCCCTTTTCCCCTTTCCTTCCCATTTGCTGTGGTTTCCATTTGTTTGTTTTGAGGGTCAAAGGCACAGAGCACTTTGCCCAGATTTCAACTCCTCTGCTAGAGAATGATGCCTAGTTCATGCGTGGTGCCTGCCACAATGATGACCGACCCAAAAATGATCCCAGACTGCGGTCAGCTGGTTATGCTCTGCTCCCAAGAGCGATTGAAAATGGGGATTTCTTTAAAAAAAGCGAATGTCAATGGGTGCCATGTACTTCGTTATCCATGCAAATATTTGTGTGCCTGTTTTCCTTTTAGGGGTGGGAGGGAGAGTGGGAATGTGCCACCCTTGTGCCTTTGAGCTCAGTTTCTGCTCATGGTGCCCTTTCACTGTGGCATGGTGCTTGCTGTTGTCAGGTAGGCTGCTAAGAGAAAGGAAGTGGTGGGGGAGCAAAGAGGGTGGTGGACAGCAGGAGAAGCTGGATGTTAAGTAGACCACCAGTGGTACACCATGCAAATGCTGGTTGCTATCAGGATGTGCTTCTATAGTGAGTGCAACCCTGCCTGTGACAGGTATGAAAGGAATAGTACCCAAAAGCTCCCCTAGATTTGAGTGGAAAGTGGAGAGCCAAGGGTCAAACAAGGGGAGAAACCAGTGGTGTGGTTCTCTGGCTGATCTCTCAAAACAGCCCCATAGCAGGAAGGCAAAGGCAGTCTGTGACCTGCAAGCTAGCATGGTAAGCAGTGGTTGATCGCTCTGTGCTGGGGAGCTCATCCACACCTTGTAGGGACTCATGTAGATAGCTTGCACAGAAGCAGAAAGCTTATTCAGTTGGGTAGTGGAGAGAAGTCCCTGCACACAACCTCTTAATTACCAGGGGACGTGTTACTGGCTAAGGGTCTGCCTCCCAGAGCCACCCAGAGCAGAGATGTTGCAGGTCAGAAATACTACTGGGAGGCATCTCTCCCACCTTCTCCTTGCCCGGGGTTGCCAGTGAGCGAGCTGTGATGCCTGCTCTGGCTCAGCTGAGGTGCTCAGAGGGCTCAGGTGGACGCGGCAGAGTTCTGCAGGGACAGATGATTTGCAGGAATTTTGTTTGATTCTTTTGGGTTTTTTTCTTCTTTTTCCTTTGCCTTCCATTGTTTTAACTCCTGAAGATTTAACTGCATTTTTAAAAATGTCATCCTTTCCAAACAGTGCACTCAGAATACCTGATCAGGCGGAGTCTCTTGACATTAAAACCCCCCTGTAGAAAAAGTTGGAGGATAGAGAGCACAGTTGCCTGTGTGGAGGGAAGTACCTGTGATGCTGTCCTCCAGTCCACATCAGCTTGGACTGAAAAAAGATAGCTTTCCTTCTTTTCCTCTTTTTCCAACTGGAGTCAGATCCAAAGATCTCGAATAGCAAGGGAAGGGCTTCAAATTGCTTAAATGGGTTTGGATCTGGCCCACACGTTGTGGAATAAGTATTTACCCAGTGCCTGCCCAGTTAAATAGTGCTCCCGTGCAAGGCTGCTTCTTTGCCTTCCCCACGGGCAGTAACACAGCTGTTTTGAAGATAAATTGGCTGGTACCCTGCAGTAAACAGCTAAGATAATCCCTGGATAACACTGCGCTTTCAAGGAAGGACAAACAGTCTTGTTATTAACGTGTAAGACTTGAGCTCCTGGGTCCTCTTTCTGACTCACTTGTCTGCACTCCAGAAACATCGACCTCTTTTCACGTGCCTCATGTGGCTGCGGTGCTAACGCAGCGTGTCAGTGCAAGGGGAGCTTGTGGGCCATTGAGATCCTTCTTCTAGAAGTGTTTCTAACCTGACCCAGATCCCACCACCCTCTCTGTACGCTGCAGCAGTGGCAGAGCAGCAGGGAAGCCCCACTGTCAGCACCACAGTAGTCTCTGGGTCAGCTTGCAGAAATAGCAGTTTTGGATGTCCTTGTAGTCCTCTCTTGAGAAGATAACTGGAAGGGCCTCAGGATTTTATCTCCAACAGTGGCATCCTAGGTTGAGATCTCCCCAGCTGAGCCATGTGGATGTAACAGCTCAGTCAAGCATCTCTGCATTGTCACACTGTGGGGCAAGGACATCACCTGAGGATATAGGAAGTTGGTGACCTCTGCTTCAGGTTGTTCTGGAGGTGCTAGCAGCAAGAAGCACACCTGTACACACTAGGTCTGAAATAACGTATCTGTGAAAGATTTGGAGGAAGGTGTCAAGGGCCATGAGCTACCTGGATGTGCTGAATTGCCCTGGGAGGAGCATCAAAGTGGGCAAAGAGATGAAAGTCTAGGATGGATGATGTCTCTCCTTTTACACCGTGGACTTTTTCTGTTTTCAGACCATTGGCTGAGACTTTGGTGAGGAAGGAGCCTGAACAAAGGCTGGATTTGCAGGGAGTTTTTAGGATCTGTTGGTTTAAATGCATGGTAGGACATGTAGAAGGAAGGAGAGTAGGCAGAGGACAGGTCATGAGAAAGAAGCAACCAGCAATTTAGTCCCTGGAGGGCAATGCTGTTGGAAGAGGAGGTGGAACCGGATGCGATGGGACCTGGGACACGAGCTAAATTCATTTCTGCTGTGGCTACGCAGGCCCATCTGTTCTCTGCATTGATGCCTACGTTACCGGAGATCGGTGAATGGCTACAGTCAGTCAAAGAGATTGGCCACACATTGACAAGGGCAAGGATTGCATCTGTCTAGCCATCTGGCACGTTCAAAGCAGGGTCCCCCATCCTCAGTCACCCAGGCCTGAATGTCAAACACCTTTTCATCCTGAATACGCGCAGTTGGGCTTATATCAGCCAGATGTTCGAGTAAGCTGAGATGTCTGGCTCATTTGGGCTAACAACTCCCCATCCTCACTTTGATTGCCTGGACAATCTCAGCACAAAAACCACATGGCAAATGAAAGCTATTTTATGTGGACAGACCCTTTTGCCAACCAGAGTCCTCAAGGGCCACACACAGGTGATGACATCCAGTGAAATCCTCCATGCGGAGCAGACAAAATTGACCCAAACTGTTTTTTTTTTCCCTGTTCACCCTTTTATTTTGTAAAAATCTATTTGATAACGTGCTGATGGAGGGGATCATGCTCTCTGGAATTGTACTTCATCAGGCACAGGCCTGACTGTTGTATCTCTCCTTTGCCTTCCTCCGTGTGTGGCAGTCATTTGTCCAGAGTGCAGCACTGGAGAGGATCCTGCTTAAGCAGAGACCCTGTTCTGATCATGGTCTCACTGTCTGGAGTGTTGGTTGGCAAGTGAAAAAGAACAAATGTTTTGCTGGGTCATCCCAGGCTTTTAGACCTGCTATCAAACTTGGTGGCTTTGTCCAACTAAGGAGCTACATGGTCTATCAAGTTCTTCCCTCATCTTTGGCCATGGGAGAAACACATGGAAAAGTTACAGGATGGGTAGATCCCTGTGCTTTGAATGCATGTATGTCATTGCCGTTGACTTCAATTGTCTTGTATACATGACCAAAGTCAACTTCAGTGGTTCAGTATGTTGGATCTCTGTCTCATTGGTGGTAGGTGAAATGAGGGGCAGCAGATGAGGATGGCTAGGTTTCAACTCCCACGAGCACCATTACCTTGCTTATTTATTCTTGATGCCATTTGAATTGTCAGATGCTTTAGAGAAAAGGACCAGTTAGAGGTCCTGGAAAATCTGAGGTGGAAGTGGAGACTGTCGAAACATTAGATAAGACATTAGAGAAGCTGTAGAAGAAGCTGTCTGAAGAGCTGGAGAAGTGATGCAAGAAATACCAGCAGTCAAGCCTGTGAAGATTTTTGAATTGGAAGCAAACTTGAGGTGGATTTGGCTCATCAGAAATGTTAAGAGGTGGAATAGATCTCACTGTGGGCATTGTTTTGATGTAGACTTTCACCTAGTGGCAAGATCTGAGTGCTGTAGCTTGTTTAAACATTTCCACCATTCTCTGAAGCCATTGATGCCCTGATAAAGACTCGACACTAAGGAGTGGTGGTTATAGGTCTTGGGTTTGATAAGATGTTTGGATACTGAAGGTGAACCACTGTTCTACATGGCTACAAGTCATGAAAAGTGTTGGGTTTTCTGGTGTAGAGGTCCTGGAAAATCTGAGGTGGAAGTGGAGACTGTCAAAACATTAGATAAGACATTAGAGAAGCTGTAGAAGAAGCTGTCTGAAGAGCTGGAGAAGTGATGCAAGAAATACCAGCAGTCAAGCCTGTGAAGATTTTTGAATTGGAAGCAAACTTGAGGTGGATTTGGCTCATCAGAAATGTTAAGAGGTGGAATAGATCTCACTGTGGGCATTGTTTTGATGTAGACTTTCACCTAGTGGCAAGATCTGAGTGCTGTAGCTTGTTTAAACATTTCCACCATTCTCTGAAGCCATTGATGCCCTGATAAAAACTCGACACTAAGGAGTGGTGGTTATAGGTCTTGGGTTTGATAAGATGTTTGGATACTGAAGGTGAACCACTGTTCTACATGGCTACAAGTCATGAAAAGTGTTGGGTTTTCTGGTGTGGTTCTTTTTTTTTTGCCTGCACACAACAGCATCAAGGGACTTCCATGCCAAGATAAGACCCCTTTCCTCCTGGGTTCACAAGTTCAAAGATGGTTGTTGCCTCTCAGTTCCTGAGGAGCCGCAGATCAGATTATGGCCACTGAAAACCTTTGGTGTGTTCACAGTGAAGCCTTCAGAGGGACAGGTTAGATTTATGATGAAGCCTCTTCTAATGGAAGGTTTTGACTTGTATTCTCAGATCTTGTCTCCATGGAGGATACCAGAGTCTTGATTTTCAGGGCTCTTCACGTTCCTGCCCCTTCTCCCATCCCAGTGCATCAGCCCCTCTTAGTTGTGTCTCTGAGACTTTGGGCCATGGTAATTTTCATACATGGCTAGCACGTAGACAGCGGGGTGCTGAAGCAGCAGAGCGGCAGCGTAAAGGGCTCTCTGCAATTACAGCTCTGATACAAATGCATCCATACATGCGGGGCCATTGATATGCGCATATTTATCTTTGTATCCACATCAGCGGCAAGACATATTTACCATTTAGATATGCACATATATTGTAAAAATACCCCGTGCCAATAGCAGCGTATATCTTGTAAGTGACATCTCCACCGCTCCTCATGATTTCTAAGGCACCGGCGCTCTTCAGATCTGGAGTTTGTGGCTATTTGTTTATTTTTATTTCCTCCCTCCCGGTCTTAGTTTTAGGGCCAGGTTTGTTAAGTTTCAATAAAATATAGGTTAAGTTTATGACATTTTTATTTGTTATTACTGTTACAAGTTTCTTTTGGTAGGGGAAGGTGGGATGAAATGTTGCTCTGCTGGAGCGATAGCGTTGCCTTATCAGGTGCTCAGGGATTCCCGAGTCCTCAGCTCTGCCACTGATGATTTTTGTGATCTCAAAGGTTTCTGCTCACCTTAAAAGAACAGGAGAGTATTTTGTGATTCTTATGAACAGTAGCTGCAAAACCCCTTGGTCCTCAGCCATGGCAGGAGAGCGAAGCCACATTACTGCCTTGTGCTTTTATGTCGGTGGCCAAAGTGGTCATTCAGAAAACCCAGCAGAAGATGTCTTTGTGTATGTGAAAAGTGCCCATCTTCATGGTTAAAGTTGAGCAGTGTCAGGGTGGGCAATCCTCGGGTTGGCGGCTCCTTTCCCTAGGTTTTTTGCCTTTAAAATGGCAAGTAACCTGAGAGGTCGGAAAAGTGACAGGAGCCCTTTGCCAGCTGAACAGAAGAGGTGATGGTTACAGCTGCCTTCTGACTAGTCCGGGTTATTTTATGCAGCACGGTGGGATTGCTCTCTGGAACAGGTTGGGCAGGGTTGACAGTGAGCACAGACAATGAGCTATTCTTGGCTCTCCTCTTTTCAGGCACTGGTGGGAGGGTCCCGATCCAAGACTCACTGTGCTCAAGACGAGTCTCCTGACTGTCTTGGGCATTGTATCTAGCAGTGGTGTTTCTGCTTTCCTTCGGTTCTGAGAATTGCCAGCACCTGACAAAAGAGCCAGTTGCAATGAGCTACAGAGAGTTTAGTGAATGTGAAGTCTTCAGCGTAGACCTCCCACCTACTCCTTGATCTTTCTTGGAGGTGGCTTCCTTCAGAGGATCCTTCTCAGTCCACCTCTAGGGCAGAGCTGGGCTCAGTCCACAGTGTTTCCTCCCTCTCCAGCAAAGGGAGGGGGATCGCCAGGTGTTTCTCAGAGCGTACGCATGAGCCATAGTTGGGCAACTCCACCAGGACTGTGGTTGCCAGTCTTCCAGGTTGGAAGAGGCAGTGGAGATGATGTCAGTGTATTTGGGGTTGGAGCTGAAAGCATAGCTGACCTGGGCCCCTGAAGTCTCTCCTTTCCAAGGCTAACGTCATGTATATAACCAAACCTTGCACGTTGAGCTGTCTCACACTTAACGCGCTGATCTGCACGATAAATTCTGAAATAATCCCATAAAACCTTTTTATTTATTTTTAACCCCCTTCCCTCCTCCCCCGCCTTCCAGTTACATGATGGGTTTATTTGTCCCGTTCAGTAGTTTTGAGGAGGTGCTCAGATATCTTGAAGCTGGAAGCAGAAAGCCTTGTTTCTGCAAAGGCGGGATTATTTTTTTTTTCTTTTCATCTGTGGTTTTTATTTTTTCCTGATCCCACCCAGTTGTCTTCACCGTTATCATTTTTTAGCGTAACGTTGGCGACTGGTGCATGCGGTGGGGAATTGGCTTACAGAGCTCGTTCTCCTGGGGCAGCTGGCCCAGGAGGGCTGTGGCACCCTTGCGTTCTCTCATGACCCATCACGATGAAAGACACTTGACAACCTGATGGGTGCTGGGAGTCTAGCCCAGGTGCCTTCACGTTTTTCCGAGCCTTCACTCCTGGTGCACTGCAGTTCCCACCAGTGATGGGTTCCTGATGTCCTGAAGGCCAACCCCACGCACTGCTCCCATGCAGAGCTCCCTGTGGCTCAGCAGGAGCTCTGGCCGTGGAATTGGATGGTGTCTGGATGTGCTCACCCTGCAGAGAGCAGCCCGGTGCAGACTTACCCACCCTGATCTGAGCTTCTCAGAAACAGCAGTGGTGTGGGCCAAGGCTTCTGCTTTCAATAGTGAGCCTTGTCTGGGTAATTCTGTTCTCCAGTGCAGTCTGCCGGGTGGACACCTTCAACAACCAAGATTTTCAAAGCTGCCTGAAGGATTTTGATGCCCTGAAAAGAAGGGAAAGAGCTGTCTGAGTCCTCCAGGCTGGGTTTTATTTTTCTCGGTCCAGAGCATGAAGAATCCTTCCTCCAGCTGAGGAGCTGTTGAAGAATGTTCTTGGCATTGAGCTGTAACAACATGTGGCTTTGAATAACCTCAAGAGTGCATCCCTTTTTTTTTTTTTTTCGCTTGCTCTGTTCTTCATACTACTAACCTGACTGTGTGTTTTGTTTTTGTGGTTGCTTTGCATGTTGTTCCTTCCTCTTGGCTGAGAGTCATGGGGTGGATCTTTTTCCTTTCTGTGATTCAGGTGCCTCACTCTTTCCTTTCCAGGTTCTTCCAGTTCTTTTAACATGTCAAACTCTGGAGATTTGTTCATGAGCGTGCAGTCTCTCAATGGGGATTCTTACCAAGGGGCCCAGGTTGGAGCCAACGTGCAGTCACAGGTAGGGACCCATCCGATGTACTGCCAGTGAATGCATTAGTGTTGGAGGAGCCTTTGATTGTATTGGCACTTCTCCCTCCCGTCCGAAAAGAGCAAATCTCAACCAGCACAAACGAACCAACCAACATTAAAAAAAGGCAAACCAAACTGAAAAAAACCAACCAACCAAAAAAAGCAACAGCAACAACCACCAAAAAAAAATCAATCCAAAAGAAACCAAACACCCAACCAAACCAACAACCATGGTCTTGAGGAGACTTGCCCACACTTTGTGAATGCATTTGGCTCTGGCTTGATAGTCGTACTAGGAGGAGAAGAGGTTTAGGAGAACAGGCATGAACTCAAACAAAAGCAGTTGAGGTTTAGGTTCTGCTTGCTTTATTGTTCCAAGGGAAGGGCCAGATGTTTGGACTGGTGTCTCATTTTACAAGGATTCCACTTACTTCTTTGAAGCCTAACCAAGTGTCTGCTGAAAGGCGAGAAATGTTCAAATAAATAGATAGATTTTTTAAAATTTTTTTTAATTAAAAGCCACCCCTCATCATCTCCCCACCTATCCAAGCACAGGTACCCATGTACACACCAGCAAGACAGAGCAAGGGATCTTTGAGCAGTGTTACTGAAACTTCAACCTGTGCCTTGAGCAAAAAGAAAGAACTTAAGATAGCCAGGAACTCACTCAGATCTCCCACCTCCCATCTGATGTCCAGATGTGCCATGAGTCCACTCTCTGGCACCTAAGGCTCTGTAGTGACAAGTGTTGAAAAGCAACAGCCACTCTGACACTCTGCACTGGGCAAGGAGAGCTCTCTAAAGCTGAGGTTGCCCCCCTCGCAGTGCTGGATGCAGAGCAAGCGTGCCATCCGTGGGCAACAAGATGTGCTCAGAGCTTGTGCTGCTGCTGGGGCTGGGCTGGGGGAGTGGAGGGAGAGGAACAGGGCACCCGAAGGAGAGCTGCCAGTGCCTTTGCCATGGTAGGTATATTCCATTTCTGGGCCCTCCAAAATGAAGGTGCTCGGCCGACTCCAAGGACCGCTTTCGACTGCCGTGAGCTTCCCAGTGCTTGGGGCTGAAGAGTGGAAGGGGATAGGGGTAGGAGTGTGGGTCCTCGAGCACGGTGGTGGAACTGGCTGCAGTGATGTGCTCCAGGAGTCCCCACCCCATGCGTGCCATGCTGTTCTCCCTCTCTGCTCTTTTTGTCAAAAGACCTGGGACCAAGGAGAGCATGATGGGGCTGCTAGGGCAGGCGGGGGGTGGTGAGGGAGGCAGGAGCGGTCCTCTGGCTCAGCTCTCGCTGCAAGACCATCTGTGGTTTCTCTTTTACCCCTCTTTAAATATATACCTTCATTTTTATTGTGACTGTTTGTGTGTTTTTATCTTGCCAAAGATGAACCAAAGAGGCTTTGCCCGCTAACCTTTCTCTCACTCTAATTTGTGTCTTTGTTGTCGTTGGTCTGTTTAGGTGGATACCCTTCGCCATGTTATCAGCCAGACAGGAGGATACAGTGACGGACTCGCAGCAAGTCAGATGTATAGTCCGCAGGGCATCAGTGTAAGAAAAAAAACTAGGCTCGGGTTCTTGTTTTATTTTTTTTTTTCTTTTCATTTTTTGTTCTCTCACTACCAATTATTTCAAAGCCATAGGGCTCAGAATGCCACTTAGTAGGACTTGTCTTTGCTTTTACGGTCACCTAGTTTATTGCTTCTGTATCGGTCACGCCAACGGCAGAGCTTTGCCCACAAAAAAAAGTGGCGACCGGGCAGGCTTTGTGCAGGCAGCTGGCGTCTAGGACTGTCAGAGCTGATCAGCGTTCGCCTGGCACCTGCGGCCACACGCACTCGGCTGAAAGGAGCTGCTAAACAGGTGACACCTCGCGTAGCCACGGTGGGGAATGTCACTGCAAACTGCCCTGGTCCAGAGGTGGCTCCATGTAGAGGCCAATGGCGACCATCTAAAAATAACCCATCCCTGGCCGGCATCCGAAATCAGGGCGGCGATGGGGTTGGCGGCGATAACGATTGCAAATAAAAGGAGGGGAAAAAAAAAAACAAACAAAGCCAAACCAACGTCAACCCAAGAAAAACCTCGCCCAACCGGACTGGGGGAGGATGGGAGGGGGAGGGCGGTCTCCAGAGCATCTTCTCCTTGTTCTTGGGTGCGCTGGCGGGTTCTGACTAGCATGAAAATTCGTAGCGACAAGCTGTGTCGCACAGGGGGAAATCGATCAGACACACACAAGGAGAACCCAGTGTAGATTCGGGACAGCAATCCAACTTCATTTCTCAGATCAATCGTCCGCCATCTCAGTGGCAGTGACAGCAAGCTGGGAGAAGAGGGCAGCCTGGAAAAGGAGGCTGTGAGCAAGCGCCGAGTGGGTGGTGGCAATGGTGTCCGGGGTGGCATGGAGGAGGGGGTGGCTGGCCTTGGACCTGGCTTGATGCCACCGTCCTCAGCGAGGAGGCTGAAGGTTGGGCTGGGGTGGTCTCGAGCTGGGCGGGAAGGTGGTGGTCCTCTGGGTGGGATGGTGATCTCATGGCCGAGCACCTCCTTGAGGTGCACGGTCCAGTCCCATCACCCTCCCAGCCACCAAGGCTTGTGCTGTTGGTCACCTTGTGGGCTGTTGGTGTGTGAGTGGGCACCGCCGGCGCGGGGAGAGGGGGTCTGTGGTCCCCTCTCCTGCGGGTGCCAGGGCTTAGCGGGCGGCTTGACGTCAGGAGGCAGGGAGGATTTGTGAAGTAATGTAATTGAACATGTGCAGATAATTATGTCTCATTACATAAGCCCGTTGCAAAAACGGCACTTGGAAATGCCACATGAAAGAGCCTATCGTTCCGCATTAATTTCTCCGTGCGCTGAATTTATTCCCTTTCTGGCTTTTTAATACTTGGAGAGTAAATGAATCGCAGGCTGATCATGATAAGAGATGATACTTTTGTATAAATTAAAATACCCCCAAGGAAAGAGGCTGAGCTGATTATGGTTGCAGTTGGCTTGGAAAATAACAGTGGGCTGGGTTAAGCCAAAATTTGGGGGGGAGGGGGCGATGGGGGAAAGAAGAAGAAAAAGGTAGTGGAAACTCAAAAGCTGAATAGGACGAGGAGGGCTGGGCTGGTGTTTCTGGCCATGGTATGAGGAGAACCACTGTTGCCACAAGGGTGGGAACTGGTGAGCCGAGAGCTGCAGGGGTCCCCACTGTACTTCCCAGAGCCCCAGGTTGGTTGCAGCTGATGGTTCCTCAGGCTCATTTTCAGGGAGGACAGGAGCCCACGTTGGCCCAAATTGGATGTTGTTCAGAGAGGGGCAAGGTGGCAAGTGGGAAAAGGGACCACCTCGGTTTGGGGGTGATGCCTTGCTTCCCCATAAAGCTGTGCTAGGCATGGGGAGCAAGACAGGGAGTCCAGAGCTGAGCAGATAGTTTAGGAAGCATCTTCTGGGTTGCCTCTCTGTCCCCAAGTGTTTTGCTTCCCCCATATCCCGTGCAGCTCCTCCTTGTAGCTTTTATTGTCACTTAATGTCTTCCCATCAAACTAGGTCCCTTGATGAACCCCAGTTTGTCAACCCCTGAAGTGTGGCTGCCCTCTGGGAAGCGTTGGTCCTGGGCAAGATCCTGTGGAGCTGCTCAGTGCAGGCAGGGTGGCTGTCTTGTAGCAGGCAGGGCTTCCCTGCCTCTCTGCTGAACCCTTTAACGCCAGGGAAGGGCAGCAGCATGTGGAGGAAAGCTGCTAGTGACACAGAAAGCTGCCGTCCCCACGTCACCCGAGGATCCCCATGAGCTGCTGGAAGGAGATGAGCCGAAACCTAGTCAAGAGCCCTGTCACAAAAGATGTCTGCACGGGGCTGAGGTTAAGTCATCCCCGGAGCCCGTCAAGGCTGGGAAGTCAGCGGCAGGTTGCCCAGCTCCACCGCTGCAAACCTTGGCAGGGGAGACAACGCTCGGGGTTTGCCTTCCTTGATGGAGGATGAATTTTTAAATGCGTGTAAGTCATGACAGCTGAGGACAGGAATCTACCCAAAGCCCAGTTCCCTCCGTGGCTCTGCTGCTCGACGGCTGACAGACCGCTCCGCGGGGCAGAAAGGTCTGGAGATGGTTCTACATCGTTAGCGGGATAATGGGTGATGTCCCAGCCACCGTGATCTCCGTGACCCACGGTGATGGCTGACACACAGAACAGCCGCCTTCTCCTCTGCAGGTGGGGATGGCGTCGAGCAGCACCGGTCCTGGCAAGGGACAGGTATGCTCTTGGTGATGGAGGGGTGGTAGAGGCAGGAGCCGTCTTGAGGATGCCCTGCCTTGGGTACCACTGAGATGAAGGAGGGCCCCGCTCGCCTGAAAGGAGGGGACGTTTGGGGCCTGATCCAGCCCTTTTTGCAAGCTTTGAGGTTGGGGATGTTGCACCATGAAGTGAAAGGTGTCTGGTCGCTCTGGACAGTGCTAGTTTGTAGGGGTCCATGTGCATCCCCAGCTCGGGGTCCCTGACGCTGGCAATTTCAAAGCATTTTGATGTCCGGGTTCTGGTGGGTTCCAGTAGAAGTTGGATCTTTATTGCCCAACCCAAAACACTGCCCTTGCAGCGTGTCAGTGCAAGGGGAGCTTGTGGGCCATTGAGATCCTTCTTCTAGAAGTGTTTCTAACCTGACCCAGATCCCACCACCCTCTCTGTACGCTGCAGCAGTGGCAGAGCAGCAGGGAAGCCCCACTGTCAGCACCACAGTAGTCTCTGGGTCAGCTTGCAGAAATAGCAGTTTTGGATGTCCTTGTAGTCCTCTCTTGAGAAGATAACTGGAAGGGCCTCAGGATTTTATCTCCAACAGTGGCATCCTAGGTTGAGATCTCCCCAGCTGAGCCATGTGGATGTAACAGCTCAGTCAAGCATCTCTGCATTGTCACACTGTGGGGCAAGGACATCACCTGAGGATATAGGAAGTTGGTGACCTCTGCTTCAGGTTGTTCTGGAGGTGCTAGCAGCAAGAAGCACACCTGTACACACTAGGTCTGAAATAACCTATCTGTGAAAGATTTGGAGGAAGGTGTCAAGGGCCATGAGCTACCTGGATGTGCTGAATTGCCCTGGGAGGAGCATCAAAGTGGGCAAAGAGATGAAAGTCTAGGATGGATGATGTCTCTCCTTTTACACCGTGGACTTTTTCTGTTTTCAGACCATTGGCTGAGACTTTGGTGAGGAAGGAGCCTGAACAAAGGCTGGATTTGCAGGGAGTTTTTAGGATCTGTTGGTTTAAATGCATGGTAGGACATGTAGAAGGAAGGAGAGTAGGCAGAGGACAGGTCATGAGAAAGAAGCAACCAGCAATTTAGTCCCTGGAGGGCAATGCTGTTGGAAGAGGAGGTGGAACCGGATGCGATGGGACCTGGGACACGAGCTAAATTCATTTCTGCTGTGGCTACGCAGGCCCATCTGTTCTCTGCATTGATGCCTACGTTACCGGAGATCGGTGAATGGCTACAGTCAGTCAAAGAGATTGGCCACACATTGACAAGGGCAAGGATTGCATCTGTCTAGCCATCTGGCACGTTCAAAGCAGGGTCCCCCATCCTCAGTCACCCAGGCCTGAATGTCAAACACCTTTTCATCCTGAATACGCGCAGTTGGGCTTATATCAGCCAGATGTTCGAGTAAGCTGAGATGTCTGGCTCATTTGGGCTAACAACTCCCCATCCTCACTTTGATTGCCTGGACAATCTCAGCACAAAAACCACATGGCAAATGAAAGCTATTTTATGTGGACAGACCCTTTTGCCAACCAGAGTCCTCAAGGGCCACACACAGGTGATGACATCCAGTGAAATCCTCCATGCGGAGCAGACAAAATTGACCCAAACTGTTTTTTTTTTCCCTGTTCACCCTTTTATTTTGTAAAAATCTATTTGATAACGTGCTGATGGAGGGGATCATGCTCTCTGGAATTGTACTTCGTCGGGCACAGGCCTGACTGTTGTATCTCTCCTTTGCCTTCCTCCATATGTGGCAGTCATTTGTCCAGAGTGCAGCACTGGAGAGGATCCTGCTTAAGCAGAGACCCTGTTCTGATCATGGTCTCACTGTCTGGAGTGTTGGTTGGCAAGTGAAAAAGAACAAATGTTTTGCTGGGTCATCCCAGGCTTTTAGACCTGCTATCAAACTTGGTGGCTTTGTCCAACTAAGGAGCTACATGGTCTATCAAGTTCTTCCCTCATCTTTGGCCATGGGAGAAACACATGGAAAAGTTACAGGATGGGTAGATCCCTGTGCTTTGAATGCATATATGTCATTGCCGTTGACTTCAATTGTCTTGTATATATGACCAAAGTCAACTTCAGTGGTTCAGTATGTTGGATCTCTGTCTCATTGGTGGTAGGTGAAATGAGGGGCAGCAGATGAGGATGGCTAGGTTTCAACTCCCACGAGCACCATTACCTTGCTTATTTATTCTTGATGCCATTTGAATTGTCAGATGCTTTAGAGAAAAGGACCAGTTAGAGGTCCTGGAAAATCTGAGGTGGAAGTGGAGACTGTCGAAACATTAGATAAGACATTAGAGAAGCTGTAGAAGAA